AAAAAAAAAAAAAAAAAGTCAGATAATTTACCACTTTAAAAATACTCAACAATTAGAAAAATAGGTCAGCATGTCAAATGGAAACTGTGATACTCTTCAGAATCTTATTGATTTTCTTGCTTAAATTTGGGCAGCATTGTGCCAGATGTAGCTAAAATAAAAAATGATGAAAAACAAATATTATAAGAAAGCATTCCTGAGTTTTTTCTACTTTGGAAAAAGGTGTTGGGCAATATACTTTTAAATAACCATGTAAATTGATGGTAGCCGGATTATTTACAGAATTAACTTATGTCTTGTAATGGTGTTTAAACTTTAGCTGAGACACATTGAAAACAAATTAGAAGTAGCCCCTACAAGTACAGCTGTATGTGATTCTGTCATGGATACCAAGAAGTCTTCTACAAGTGCCACCCGAAAAATAAGTAGAAAAGGTATGTATGAAGTTACTTCCAAATATATAGATATATTAAATGTAAATTAAAAGAAAAACAGAGACAGCTAGGACTATAGGTGTGTACCACCACACCTGGCTAATCTTTTTTTATTTTTTGTAGAGACGACATCTCTCTATGCTGCCCAGGCTTGTCTTGAACTCCTGGCCTTAAGTAATCCTCCTATCTTGGCCTCCTGAAGTGCTGTGATTATAGGCGTAGCTACCACACTCTGCCTTAAATAAGTTGTTGATTTAGTAGTTTTGTTTCAGTTTAATTTCTTCTTATAGTCTCGTGTTGCTTGCTTTTTTGTCAGAGACGTTGACATTTAATTTTTTTCCCATTGATATTGAGTAGCTATGAAGCAGCCCCATATTCAGTTACCGTAGATGGTGTTTTCACCATCTTTTGATCAGGAACTTTAGCACTATTGCATCACCCTTGACAGTGAGTTTTCATTTGTTTCTAGCAATGAGAATTTAATTTTGAGGTTATATATATCTGACTTTTTTTTTTTTTTTGTAATTGACAGATATATAGCGCTTTGGAAATGAAATTTAGTTGACTTAATAAGATGTATTTTTTATTGGGATTTAAAATCATAAATGGAGTGTCTTTCATATGGTGACTGTCATAAACTGATACAATGCAAATGTTTTCTTTGGTTACCTTTTGCTTTTGATTCTGTGTTTTCTTTTTCCTTTTTTGCGATGGAGTCTCACTCTGTCACCCAGGCTGAGTACAGTGGCATGATCTTGGCTCCCTGCAGCCTCTGCCTCCCGGGTTCAAGTGATTCTCTTGCCTCAGCCTCCTGAGTAGCTGAGATTACAGGTGCACACCACCACACCCAGCTAATTTTTGTATTTTCAGTAGAGACAGGATTTCACCATGTTGATTAGGCTGGTCTCGATCTCTTGACCTTGTGGATCTGCCCACCTCAGCCTCCCAAAGTGTTGGGATTACAGGTATAAGCCACTGTGCCCGGCCATTCTGTGGTTTCTTAATTGGTGGGTGAAATCCTCCAGGTCAGTACTGTCTACTTAAACTGTGAGAGAGTTATATATATTTATCTTTTTTTTTTTAACCTGGGAGTTTGTTAGGTTATATCTCATACTTTTAAGTGAATGAGAGCCATTGACAAAAATAAATTTTATATTGTTTGCTCAGAATACAATCTTTCTCTGTCAATGGAGCTACTTTAATAATTTAACCTGAATGTTTTTCATCTACTTATGTAATATCCAACTAGAGATACTAGAGCTATAATATCCAACTATTAGAAATAGTAGATACTTAAATTATTTTTTTTAAAGATACTAGCTAAATTCAGAGGCAGTTGTATTTTATATCATATGTTTTCATAGATTTCCTTTTCCTTCAGATGGTAGATACCTGGATGATTCTTGGGTTAATGCTCCAACCTCCAAATCCTCTAAATCACGGAAAGAGAAATCTCGTAGTCCTCTCAGAGTTACCACCCTGGAGAGTAATGTGAAGAAAAATAATCGTGTGGAATTTCGTGAACCTTTGGTTTCTTATAGGTTAGTATTGAAGAAAAAAAAGTATCAAATCGGTTTAACCTGTAATATTTACAGTAAGAGTATACTTTATTTTCTGAGTTTTTTTAGCACTCTGGTTGTGAAATAGTATAATACTCTAATTACGTTTTTCATTCTCCACAAAAGATGGCTACAAAAGATAGTGCAAACATGAAATACTGACTGCAGTAGCCTCTTTTAGAGATAAATATTTGAGGGGGAAGAAATAGTAATAGTTGCCCCAGTCCACCTTTATTGTAATGAATATGTTTCCTAGAAACAAATTATTCCATCTCTGGAAGTGTGGCTTTTTTGCTTCTTCTTAATATCTCAGATAATTTATTTTATTTAATATACTTTATATTGCTTACATTTTTCTTTTTTGGGGGGTAGCATTAATTAGTTACATAAAATTTCTGTCTTTTTGAGAATGTGAATTGATTTATTATTTTGTTGCCAGTGGCTTTCAGTAACTTAGATGTTAAAGATTGATGTATGAATTTTGATAGTATAGATAATGTAAAATGTTTTGCATTTTTATTAACATAGTTTAAGATATTTAGCTGATAAATTTACAGAACTTTGTACTTGAGGGACACTTTACTAATGATTTCAGTGCATTCATGTTCTTAGTATAGCAAATATTAATAAGTAAAAAACACCAGGCCTGTTTTTTTTGTTTCATTTATAAGCATTTTTTGTGTTTTAAACACAAATCAAGAAGTTTCATGAAGAACTTGGTAGTTCTAGGTATATGTTTGTACTCTTAAATTTTATATAACTTGGGAGACGGAGGTGGATTGTAAGTTCAATTTTTAATATGTTGCCTTTGATGCAATTTTGAATTATCTAGGTGAAAATATTAGGCATTTAAAAATTTGGGTAAGAATGTATGTGGGATGGCCAGGGCTGGCAATATAAATCTGGGAGGTATCAGTAGTCTTGAAGCACTAGAAGTGCTGGTAAAAATATAGAAAAAAAGCCAGGGGTATAATCTGGGTAAAGTTCAGAATTTTAAAAAATGGAGAAGGGAAAAGTGTGAAGAAGAATAATCAAAGTTCAGAGTCTCTAAACACACAGATATCAAGCAACTTGCCTAAAGACATAATTTTACCAGAATTGAGACTGAGTTGCTGACTTCATATTTATGTTCAGTGTTCCTCCTGCAAATAATACTACTTTATATTTAAAAGTATGGAAATTATGGTTTTTTGTTTTTGAAGCAAGGTCTTGCTTTGTTGCCCAGGCTGGAGTGCAGTGGCACAGTCATGGCTCACTGCAACCTCCACCTTCTGGACTCAGGCAACCCTCCCACCTCAGCTTCCTGAGTAGCTGAGACCATGCCCGACTAAATTGTGTGTGTGTGTGTGTGTGTGTATGTGTGTATTTTTTATAAAGATGGGTTTTCACCATATTACACAGGCTGGTCTTGAACTCACTGGCTTAAGTGATCCACCTGCCTCAGCCTCCCACAGTGCTTGGATTACAAGACATGAGCCACTGTGGCTGGCCTGTAAATTATGTATCTTTTAAGAAAAAAATACCCATTTTTGTCTTTTTATCTGTCTTATCTCTGTGGAGAGATGTCTGGAGTGATCCAATATTATTTGATGTTCTTTCTATATGAGATATTGGGTTAAATATTTACATTTTATTTTGTACTTTATAGCACTAGGTCTCACATGTTTGGGTTTCAGAAGTCTTCACTCTTTTTTGTTTTTTTTGGCGGGGGGGCAATTTCTCCTACAAATAGGTGCCAACTTCTTTGAAAATTGAGACTCTGTGCTCAGCTTTACTTTGGGCAAAACACATGATTTTGGGACCCTGAGATAGAGAAGTGAGACTTTAATCCAAACCTTCCAGGAAAAGACATCAGATTTCATTTTTATCCCTTTGTTCCTCCCACAATCAGTGAGAATTTTTCTTGCCTGACAGTTAAGGATTCTTTTGAAAAAGTCTTCATTTTGGCATTATCTTAACAACCAGTGATACCTCATGCAGATCTAGATAGATCTAATATTTGTGTTTTGGTAGAGATGGGGTCTCACCATGTTGGCCAGGATGCTCTGGAAAAAAAAAAAAAAAAAAAAGGAAAAAATACCCAGAGGATAGCTGTGAGTGGAATGCCCTCCACCTGGTGGATTCCATTCATCACTTAAAACTCTTATTACTTTCTGTGGGGAAAATAGCTAGATCTGTTTCTACCCCACTGTCATTTTCCCAGCCTAGTTCATCATCCTCCTCTGCTCCCATAGTACTGTGTAACTTCCTCTGTTAGAGCATTTTTAGGTTACATTGTGTTTTGGTTCCATATCTGCCCATTAGTCTATCTAAAGATATACATTTTATTCTCAAGCCATTAGCTTAGTGCCTAGCATGTACTAAATATTAAATAAATATTTTTTTCTAACATATTACCAGGAAAAAATTCAAATTTACAGAAAAGTTGAAAGAACTGTATAGTAAACATTCTTATATGTATTCAGTACATATTTAATGGTGAGTGAATGAAAGACTGTGTGAAATTACTTTACTTTTTGTTGGGGAGGTGTTAATTTTCTCCTCTCTTGAGATTCGGACGTGATATGTAACCTACCATTTTATGTTTTATTTTATTCTCTGCTTATGCTGATTTTGGAATTAAATTATTTTAACTGAATTGTTGCAGTCTTGTTAAGATAGTGAAAATCTTATTTAGCTTTGGTCTTTGATGGCAGGATTTATTTCACAGCTCTTTCTCTCTGTCTCCCTCCCTCTCCCTCTCTCCTTTCTTCTCTTTCTCTCTCTCCTCTCTTTCTTTCTTCCCTCCCACCCTTTTTCCCTTCCTCTCTTTCTCTTTCTTTCTCTTTTCTTCTTCTCTCTCTCTTTCTTTCTTTCTCTCTCTTCCCCTTCGCTTCCCCCCTCCCTTTCATTTCCCTCTTCTCCCCTTTCCCTCTCCTCCCCTTCCTGCCTCCCTTCCTCCCTTCCTGCCTCCCTCCCTGCCTCCCTTCCTCCCTTCCCCCTTCCCTCTCTCCCTCCCTCATTCCCTTTCTCCCTCCCTTGTTCTCTTGCTTCCTCCCTCCCTGTGTTGCCCAGGCTGCAGTCCAGTGGCTCAATCACACACAGCTCACTATAGCCTAGATCTCCTGGGCTCAAGCCATCCTCCCACCTCAGCCTCCCGAGTAGCTGGGATTACAGATAAGCACCACCATTCCAAGCTAATTTTTGTATTTTTTGTAGAGACAGGTTTTTGCCATGTTGCCCAGGCTGGTCTCAAACTCCTGGGCTCAAGCAATCTGCCCACTTTGGCATCTCAAAGTACTGGGATTACAGGTGTGAGCCATCACATTTGGCCATCCCCATCTTTTTCAATAATCAGCCACTTAGAGCAGGGTCTAAAATTTTTTGGGTTGTGGACCCTAATGGGAATCTGACAGAAGCTATAGACTGTGGTTTTCTTAGAAAAAATGCACATGTTCATATGCTACCAGTAGAAACAGTTACTATGTTATGTTGTCATGGCTTTAAGAATCTTTGTAGTATTGAGGGTTTTATGCCTTTACCTGAAATGCCCTAGATCAGAGCACTGCTATACAATAGAACCATTAATGTGAGCCACACATGTAATTTCAACATTTTTAGTATTACACACAAAAAAGATATTTTACATTCCTAAATTTTTAGAACCCAGTATGTAACTTACATTACAGGACCTGTCAGTTTTGATTAGCCACACACATATCGTGTGCTCAATAGCCACATGTGGCTAGTGGCTCCTGTTTCAGACTTTCAGGTCCAGCCTGTTGTTATAGCTGGCTTTATAATTTTCTTGACATTTTTTTTCATGATTCGTGTGCTCTTCTCACTGCTGAAACATTTGTCTTCATTAGCCTTCCTTTTCATAAACTGCTTTCCTAAAATAAGGCTTGGCCAGGCACAGTGACTCACACCTGTAATCCCAACACCTGAGGTCAGTAGTTCAGGACCAGCCTGGCCAACCAACATAGTGAAACTCTGTCTTTACTAAAAACAGAAAAATTAGCCAGGCATACCCCTGTATTCCCAGCTTCTCAGGAGGCTAAGGTGGGAGAATCGCTTGAACCGGGGAGGCAGAGGTTGCGGTGAGCCGAGATTGTACCACAGCACTCCAGCTTGGGTGATAGAGTGAGACTCCTTCTCATAAATAAATAAATGAAATTAAAATAAGTCTTTTTGGAATGCGTGTAAAATAAAAATAGTCTCTGAAAGAGGATTTTTGCTAGTGTTTTCTGTGAGCAATGAATATTGACTTGTGAGAGGTACTTTGGCTTTGCCCAGTCTTCTTTACTTACTCCTGATTTTCTAGATATGCTTTATAAAGTTTGGAGCTGCCAAAAAGTACTCTGTGGTTAAGAGATTTAACATTACTAAAGATATTTACTTGGAGGAAAATATTTATTGTCCTTTTATTTTATTTCTATCCCAAGTCTATTTATTAATTTGGTTCATTCTTTAGAATTGACATATATGAAATGCCAGTATTTGAGAACTTTTTTTCTTGGTAAGATTTTATAGAGTAGCAAATAACAGATTTTATTGACAATTGTTAAGTGGATAGCCAAATTCAGATTATAATCCTTTTTTTCTGGAGTTCTTAGGAAATCTTTCTACATATCTTTTGCATATTTCTTATGTTATAATATGCAGGTTGTTATTTAGCTTATTTGCCATTTTACTTGATAGAGGGGACATTGACTATTGAGTCTTAATATTACTAATGGTTTTTTTGCGATCTTTAACTGGAATTTCTAGGTTTTTAATTTTTTGGTCTGTAATGCTAGCTGAGAGTTCTCATTCAGTTTGTATGACTGGTTTCAATTTGACTAGTTTTTGTACTTTTATGAAAAGCTTTTTAAAAAATTTAGCTTTAAAATTGACAAGTATAAACTATATATGTGTAGTGTACAACATGATGTTTTCATATATGTATCCATTGCGGAATGGCTAAATCAAGTTATTTAACATGTATTACCTCGCGTACTTATTTTTTTGTGGTGAGAACACTTAAAATCTACTTTTAGCAATTTTCAAATATCCAATATATTATTAGTTATAGTCATAAAACTTATTTTTTATTGTAGGGAAATCCATGGTGCACCTTCCAATTTGAGTTCTAGCCATCTGGAGTCAAAGCATGTATATTGTGTAGATGTTAATGAAGAAAAGACTGAGAGTGGGAACTGGATGAAAGGCAATGGAGAAGAACGGAATATGCATAGCTGTGATTTTGAGAGCTCCCAATCATCTGCCATCAATGATACATTTGTTAGGTTTTTAAATGATCGACCAGCAATTGATGCACTGCAAAATTCTGAATGTTTAATTAAGATGGGAGCTTCTACAAGAACTGAGGAAGAAATGCCTAGCAGAACAAAAGGAAGTGAGAACAATTTGAAGCTTTCTGTGAATAACATGGCCCATGACACTGATCCAAAAGTGTTACGACTAACTGACTCTTCTCCATCCTCTACTAGTACTTCTAATTCCCAAAGATTAGATATTTTAAAGCGGCGACAACATGATGTCAAACTGGAAAAACTTAAGGAACGGATTAGAAAACAATGGGAACACTCAGAAGAAACAAATGACCGAGGCCAAAGGCTGGGTCATATTGACCATCCAGTAATGGTTGTTAATGTTGATAACTCAGTAACAGCAAAAGTCAGAAAAGTGGCAACAGCACCACCTGCTCCAGCATATAAAGGTTTGTAATCAGTTTTTATGTCTTCTTTTCCCAGCTTCCTTGTTCTTCTTTCTCCTAGCATGTATTTGAATAGAGAGGATCATCTTTGGAACAGGATGTTATTCTCAAATCAACTGTGTAAGAAATTATTTCAACATACATGTTAAAAATGCAGATTCCTAGAGCAAAAAATTCCTAGTCCTAAGTCAGATTTTCTGGGGCTGGGTCCAGAATTGGAGTTTTTAATGAGTCCTTCAGGGGATTCTTGTAGTTTGAGAACCAATAATGGACATTTACTAAGTTACACAAATAATAATTCATCCTGTTTTCAGGGAACTGAAAGAATACTGCCCTTATCATGTGCTGCCATTGTATTTGGATTGGTATTAGGAATTATTTCAAAAGTAATATTTGAAAGATAATTCCATTTCCAATGAATATTTGAGTACAAGTATCTTGGCACTGACATTGATCCTGTTGATACTTTAACCTTCAAATGTTAACATGAATGATTTACTGCCCCCATATTTTTTTTTTTTTTTTT